AAGAGAATCGCCTAAGCCTAAGAGCTGGAGGTTGCTGTGAGCTGTGACACCACCGCACTCTACTGAGGGTGACAAAGTGAAACTCTGTCTTTAAAATAATAATAAGTGAGAATGAATGGAAAAAAGAGATAGTGAGAACAATGGAGGAAAAAGAGTACCTACCATGTGCAGGGCCCATATTACCTGCTAGAATATTTACTATTACTTGAGGACAAGGCCATTATGATTCTCCTTCCCCCCCCCCTTTTTTTTCCCCATTCAAATTTCCTTTATTATTTCTTATAGCATAACTGTGTATACTAATGCAATCATGGGGTACAGTGTGCTGTTTTCATGTACATTTCGAAATACTCTCATCAAACTGGTTAACATAGCCTTCATGTCATTTTCTTATTTATTGAGTCAAGACATTCATACTCTGCTTTTAGAAAGATTCACTTGTACCCTTGTAGGATAAACCATAGAGGTGACCCCACCAATCACCCTTCCTCCCCACCATCCACCCCCCTCACCTCCTCTCTCCAACCCTCCTTCCCATATTCTAAGGCTATAATTAGGTTATGACATTCCTATGAAAACTACGAATTAGTTTCAAAATAGGGCTGTGTACATTGGATACTTTTTATTCCATTCTTGAGATACTTTGCTAAGAAGAACATTTTCTAATTCCATCCATGTAAACATGAAGAAGGTAAAGTCTCCATCTTTCTTTTTTCCCCTCTTTTTTAGAGACAGAATCTTGCTCTGTCACCTCAGTTAGAACAGTGGTATCATCATACCACACTGAAACCTCAAACTCTTGGGCTTGAGCTATTCTCCTGCCTTAGCTTCCAAGTGCTGGGATCACAGGTACACACCACCACACTCAGATAATTTTTTCTATTTTTAGTAGAGGTGGGGTCTTACTCTTGCTTAGGATGGTCTGGAACTCCTGACTTCAAGTGATCTTGAAGCAGGAGCCTTGGCTTCCCACAGGGCTAGGATTAAAGGCATAAGCCACTGAACCCAACTGATCCCCATTTTTATAGGTATGAAAAATGAAGCTTGAAAAGTCTGAATCAATCAACTATTTGCTACACTGGCTGCAAATGAGAATCACCCGGGAAACTCTGGCTATAACCTAATATCTGGGCCCAATCCAGACAGATATTTTTATTGATTTAAATGTTCTGTAATGAAAGAAGGGCATCCCAGACGGTTCTAACATGCAGCCCAAGTTGACAACACCAGCAGTGTAAAGTACATAGTCAAGGCTCCACAGCTGACTAGGATTCAAACATAGGTCTACATGACTCTATACTATATAATATTAACTCTAAATTTTGGAGTTTTAACAAGTTTTAAGAACTTGTAATCAATTGGCTGGGCACCGTAGCTCAGTGATTAAGGGCATCAGCCATATGCACCTGGGCTGGCAGGTTCGAACCCAGCCCAGGCCTGCTAAACAACAATGACAACTGCAACAACAACAACAAAAAACAGCCAGGCATTTGTGGTGGGCACCTGTAGTCCTAGCTACTTGGGAGGCTAAGGCAAGAGAATTGCTTAAGCCCAAGAATTTGAGGTTGCTGTGAGCTATGACATCACAGCACTCCACTGAGAGCAACATGGTGAGATTCTGTCTCAAAAAAAAAAAAAAATTGCAATGGCTAGTCACCAGCCACAGTGGCTCATGCCTATAATCCTAGCACTCTGAGAGTCCAAGGTGGATGGATCCCTTAAGCTCATGAGTTCAATGGCTTGGCGCCTGCAGCTCAATAGCTAGGGCATCGGCCACATACACCAGGGTTGGTGGGTTCCAACCCAGTCCACAACCCAGCCCAGGCCCATTAAAAAACAATGACAACTGTAACAAAAAAATAGCCAGGCACTGTGGCAGGCGCCATAGTCCCAGCTACTTGGAAGGCTGAGGCAAGAGAGTCGCTTCAATCCAAGAGTTTGACTGTGATGCCACAGTCCTCTACTGAGAGTGACAAAATGAAACTCTGTTTCAAAAAAAAAAAAAAAAATTAGGTTTGCCAGGTGGCTCACAACTATAATCCTAGCACTGTGGAAAGACAAGGTGGGTGAATTGCTTGAGCTCACGACTTCGAGACCAACCTGAGCAAGAGTGAGACCCTCATCTCTACTAAAAATAGAAAAACTGAGGTAAGATGATGGCTTGACCCCAAGAGTTAGAGGTTGCTGTGAGCTATGATGCCATGGCACTCTACTCAGGGTAACAACATGAGACTCTGTCTCAAAAATAAATAAATAGGACAGTGCCTGTGGCTCAAAGGAGTAGGGCACCGGCCCCATATACTGGAGGTAGCAGGTTCAAACTCGGCCCCAGCCAAAAACTGCAAAAAAAAATAATAATAAATAAATAATTTTTAAAAATGAAAATAAAAATGGCTAGTCATGGTTTTGTTAATACATAAATAATAAAATACATGACATAATTATGAAATATATACATATTTCACAATTACAATCCTAGATGGAAATATAAAAGAAGCTCTTTTACCTGTCAGAACCTGGGTGAAATTCTGAAAGCAAGGAAGGTCGTCTTCGAAGCTGCTGCTGCTGCTGTTGCTGCAAAAGCTGTGATGCCTGACTGACTTCAATATGAGAGGAACGATAATCAGGGACTGCAAACTCCTAGGATTAAAATAATCATAAATTAGTTATTAACCAAAAAAGGAACACCATTATGAAATCAAACCAACTATAAAGGCAGTTATCGGCCACTAAGTGTGGGAAAAACGGCAATGACAATCGTTCATTGATCTAACTCTTCCCCAGAACCTAAGACAATCAACGTTTTAACTGTATATCATTAAAAACAACCCAAAGTGAAATTTCAAGCTCAACCTACTCATTCCTCTAATAACATATTACAATAACTCCCAATCTATATTATTCCCATCAATACAATCTCAAAATCATGTGTTCTGTATGAAATCCTAAAAAGTATTCCGATCTTGGGCGACACCTCTGGCTCAGTGAATAGGGCACTGGCCCCTTATACTGAGGGTGGTGGGTTCAAACCCGGCCCTGGCCAAACTGCAACAAAAAAATAGCCGGGTGTTGTGGCATGAGCCCGCAGTCCCAGCTACTTGGGAGGCTGAGGCAAGAGAATCAGCTAAACCCAAGAGCTGGAGATTGCTGTGAGCTATGAGGTTATGGCACTCTACCAAGGGCAACAAAGTGAAACTCTGTCTCAAAAAAAAAAAAAAAAAGGATTCCAATCTTAATTTCAAGATGAGTAAGCTAAATGGGTCAGAGAAGTCATCTAGCTCAACCTAGGTACATTTACAAATGCAGAAACTGAAGTCTAGAGAATCATCCTAGTAGTTAAGAGCAATAGTTTCTCCATCATAACTAGGTGGGCGTTTTTATATATTTTTTTGTACATTTCCTTTGTTGATTGTCTAAAAATCTTATTTTCAAACAAATCCACTTTGTTAACTCAAGCATAAGCACATAGTTAAATAGAATTACTAAATAACCTAGGAAATCCACTGCCAGATACATATCCAAAAGAATTCAAAGTATATAACCAAACACAAAAACTTTAACACAAATTTTCATAGGCACATTATTCAGAACAGTCAAAAAGTGCAAACAACCAAAATGTCTGCCCACTAATTAATGAATAAACAAAATGTGGTATATCCATATAGTGAAGAACTGTTCAACCATAAAAAGGAATAAAGTACTGATATATGCTAGAACACAGATAAACCTAGAAAACATTCTGCTAGGCAAAAAAGCCAGACAGAAAAGGCCACAAATTAGTATTGCATTTGTATAAAATGTCTCTAAGAGACAAATCCTTGGAGGCAAAGTAGTTCAGTGGTTAGGGAGCCGGTCACATACATGGAGGCTGGCAGATTTGAATCCGGCCAGGGCCACGTAAACAACAATGACAACTGCAACAAAAAAAAATAGCCAGGGGCTCAGCACCTGTGGCTCAAGTGGCTAAGGTGCCAGCCATGTACACCTAAGGTGACGGGTTCGAATCTAGCCCGGGCCCACCAAACAACAATGA